TTTAGACAGACCTATCAGACAGAATCATGGAAGCAGTCTAAATGGCCCTCAACAGATAAATGGATCAAGAAGATATGGTATAGCCACACCATAGAATATCTAGCCTGCTTCACTACATAAGAGAAGATGAAATGTAATCATTCTCAGCAAAATGGGAAGCATTTGAGAGTACTAGACAAAGCAAGCTAAGTCAGAATAATAATAAACAACTGAACATTTACCTAGCAGACTATTCAACCACATAAATACTTCCAAAAACAGTGGATATCAACAAGCATCTTCAGGGCTCTGAGTAAAAGACAGGGGAGGCAAAGGGCCAAGGTGATATATAGTATGGGGTAGGGAAAAAAATAAAGAGTACTCAAGCATTCTTGTTATATCCAACAAGAAGTTTATAGGAACTTAACACATTTAGCTTAGTGGTGGATTGTCTAACAAGAAAGCATAAAGGCACAGAGACAAGAAAAAGGCATGAAAAGATAAATATAATATTTTTGGGTGGTAATATTTTCCTTAGCATTCTTCATTCTTCTTATCTATATGTGTATGCATTTATGTATGTGTGTATGAATGTATGTTTGTATATATATTTATATATAACCTGTAGGCATAAAATAAAAGAAATATAAGAAAAGAAACAAAGAAATATTCCATTTACACTATAAATAATATTTTTGACACAAATACAGAGCTTGGAAGGATTTGTTCAAAAAAGTAAAATAAATTATCCAAGACTACCCTTGAGTGAACTATAGGCTGGCTTGCAGCTTGGAAATCTACTGAAATTAAGAAAATGATGAATGAAAAAAAGAAAAAATACAACAAGAACAGATAAAATATGAAAAAGTTCCAAAGAGAAACTAAACAGATTAAGAATGCAATAACTGAAATAAAAAAATACAACAGCAGGGCTTACCAGTAGACTCACAAGACTGAGAAATAAATAAATGAGATAGAAGATAAGATAGTGGAAATTATCCTCAAATACCAGCAGAATGAAAAAAGCATTAAGAAAACTGAAGTCCATCTAAGAGACTTATGAGACAGTATCAAAAGGAACAAGATTTTTATCATAAGGATTCCAAAAGAGAAAAAGAGAAAAAGAGGCAGAAATCCTATTTGAGAACACAATAATAGACAATTTTCATCAAACTGGAGAAGGAAATACACACAGATACATGAAGCTCAAAGAGTCCCACACAAAATAAACCCAAACAGATATATAACAAGATAAAGTATAATTAAAATGGCAAAAATTCAAGGTAAAGAAATAATCCTAAAAGTAGTTAGAGAAAATCAAAAGACCACATATAAGAGGAATCCAATAAGATTATAAGCAGATTTCTCAGCGGGTCAGAGGGTATGACATTATATATTCAAAATTCTGCATAAAAAAAGGCCTCACACAAAAAATGAACAATTATGTAAAATATATATAAATTAAAAAATAAAAAAAAGCCTCACACCAAGAAATTCACACTCAGGCTAAAACAAAATTGGAGGAGTGATAGTTTTACAGATAAATAACAGTTGAAATAATTAATTCTCCTCTAAGAATTGGCCTTGTAAGAAATAGTAAAACAAAAGGAAATCTCACTTAGAAATATTTATGTTGGGTTAACTCAGAATAAAATTTGATAGAATTAACCCAGAATAAATTTAAGAAGATTATAAATATACAATCCTATATATAAACCACATGATAACATAAAAAACCAAGTATTTAGAGAAAATAAATATGGAATGCAAACACTACACAAAAGGAAGTTTTCAAAATATCATGTAAGAGAACAAAAGAAGTACAAATGGACAGGGACAAACAGCAAAAATAGCCAGACAATAAATAGCAAAATGGCAACTAATATTTATATTTCAATAATCTCTATAAATGTTAATGCTTAAAATCATCAATTAAAAGGCGCAGAGTGGTTTGTTGATTAAAAAAAAAAATCCAACCTTTTCTTGTCTCCAAGAGTTCCATATGTACTCCGAAGGTAAATGCTGATTCAAATTAAAGATTGGATAGCAATCCTACAAGGAAAGGGAACACTTAAAAAGGCAGACATCCATAGTAATATTGGATAAAATATAACTGCAGCAAAAAAAAAAAAAGTAACTAGAGACAGTGATGGACATTACATAATGATAAATGCATAAATCTATCAGGGAAACATAACATTCCTCAATATATATGCACCAAACAAAAGAGCACTGAAATATATATAAGGCAATGACCAAAATAACTTAAAAGAAAGACTGACTGCAACATAACAGTAGTGGGGACTTCAACACCCTTCTCATCATTGGACCATTAAACCAGACTGAAAAATCAACAAAGAAACAACTGTAAATGAGAAATTAGGGCAGATGCATTTAATAGGCATGTAAGGTGCACCCCCCAAAAAGCTTAATACATATTCCAAATATACATGGAATATACTTGATAATGGACCTCATGATGGACCTCAAAAAAACTGTCAATAGGGCCTCCCTGGTGGCGCAGTGGTTGAGCGCTGGGTTGCGAAGCTGCCCACAGCCTCTGCAGCACCAGTTCAATCCCCGGCTGCTCCCTGGCCACCAGAGGAGGTTCCACATGGCATGCAGACCTCTCCTGCCACCCGCTGCTCCCCTCAGCAGTGTACTTCGGTCTTTTCTGCCTGCTCTGCTCCCCGCTCTGGCTCTGGTGAATTCCCTCACCCTCCTGCGCTTCTGACTGTACCCAGGGCTTGTATAAATAAATAAATAAATTTTTTAAAAAATCTTAAAAAAAAAACCTGTCAATAAATTCATAAAGATCAAAATTATTTCAAGTATCATTTCTGACTATAATGGTATGAAACTAGAAATCAACCACAGAAAGAAAACAGGAAAAAGTTTAGATATGTGGAGATCAAGCGCTGAATGACTATTTGGTTGTAAAGGAAATCAAAAGATAAATTAAAATATTACTTCGAAACAAATTAAAATGAAGACACAAGCTATCTAAACCTATGGAAATCAAAAAGAAAGTTCTAAGAGTTATGTTTATAGCAATGCAGGCCCACATCAAGAAACAAGGGTGTGGAGAAAAGGGAGCCCTTATACAACATTTGTGGGTGACTGGACTGATCAAGGCTCTATGGAAAACTGTATGGAAATTTCTCAAATTTTTAAAAATAGAACTACTTTAAAACCCAATAATCCCTGTCATAAATCTACCATAAGTATACAAAAAAAAAACAAAACATGAATTTGAGGGGATATATGCACTGCTATGTTCATTGTGGCACTATTTACAATAGCCAAGCTATGGAAACAAGCTATGTGTCCAAGGAAAGATGAGTGAATTAGGAAGATGTGGTATATGGATACACAATGAGGTATTATTCAACTATATGAAAAGATGAAATCTTGCCATTTGCAATAACATGGATTGAACTGGTGGATGTTATGTTAAGTGACATAAGTCAGAAGAAGAAAGACAAATACAAGTTGATTTCACTTATAAGTAGACTGGAGAACAAAGCAAAGAAATAGAAAAACTACAACCAAACAAACCCTAGAAATCTGACTGTAGAATTGAAAGTGCCACAGGGGAAAGGTAAGAGTTGGGGATGAAAGGAGAGAAGGGGCCCAATGGACTATGGTGAGGGATTTTGTGTGTCTTGTTGTAACATACATCTGAAGAGGTATAAATATGTACCCCCAAATCATATACAATATTTTCAACCATTGTTACCTTAATAACAGTATTAATAAAAAATTAAAACCAAGAAGTTAAACTCAATCCACAAGCAAACAAATTAAAGATTATCAGTATAATAGCTAGCATTTACAAAGCTGTGGTCATGAGAATGAGCATCCTGTCCCAAACCAGGAGCAGACTATTATTTCCTCATTTCACTGAGAAGTTCAGTGGCCAGTCCAAAACCACCTAAAAGTGAAGGTCATGGCTGGAAATCAAACCCAGATGAGTTTCTGCTACGAAACACCTTGACCTACTCTTATAGTGAATAAGAAATAAGCCAAAAAAAGTAAAAGTGCAGGCAAATTTTCTGATGCTCTCAGATTTTAGGTAAGATTATAGTTACACAAATTCCCCCAGTTATCATGTGACCTATTTTGATTAAAGTTTTATAGTAAATAATTGTCACATTCTGAAGTAGTTGGGCCATTTTAAACCATAGCCCATATCTTCTGAAATACATTAATTTGTCAATAGATAGTATTATGGAATGAAAATTGATGTAGGAGACTCACGATTTAAAAGCAGGCATGTCACATAAAGAAGCATTATATAGAATTATAGTTGTATTGGGCCTCCCCGGTGGCGCAGCGGTTGAGCGCTGGGTTGCGAAGCTGCCCGCAGCCTCTGCAGCGCCGGTTCGATCCCCGGCTGCTCCCGGCCACTGGAGGAGGGTCCCACATGGCGCGCAGACCTCTCCTGCCGCCCGCTGCTCCCCTCAGCAGTGTACTTCGGTCCTTCTGCCTGCTCTGCTCCCCACTCTGGCTCTGGTGAATTCTCTCGCCCTCCCGCGTTTCTGACTGTACCCAGTGCATGTATAAACAAAACGAACAAACAAATAAATAAATAAATAAAACATGCCTCTATAAAAAAAAAAAAAAAGAATTATAGTTGTATTATGTAATTACATAAATACATACAATATGATAAAGCATTTCACACCTATATATAATATAGAATTTAAAACACAGTTAAAAATTAATAAATTGTTAATCATCCTTACAACAGTCACATCTTCCATGGATAAAACATTTAATAATTTACACAAAGTTTCCACACATACCCAATTTTACATAAATGTTACTAGTCAGCTGGGAAGACCATACCCCTGACACTATGTAGACTCTTATAAAGGGGATTTCTAACTCACCCAAGGAGAGGATCCTCCATCCTTTGGTGGAAAGGAAACCTCACTCACCTGTAACTGGTTGATCATCTGGCCATTTCCACTGTTTTGAAAAATACTGGACATTTTCAGCAGTATTTCTGATGAACTCTTCAGTTTGTCCATGAAATGAAAGGTATAATCAGCCTGCAAAGTAAAGCATGCTTGAATATGTCTCTAGTTATGAGACTTAACTCTTCAGCACCACTCACTTGCAAGGTGGTTAGCATTGTAAGTGATTGACTATCAGAGGAAAGACCTGCCGTTTCCACCTCCTGGCTTATAAACTCCTCTTCAGAAAAAGTGACCCATTCCAATGACCTCATACCGGAAGTGAGTCTCTGAGATACTCATCCAGACTCTTTCTACAGATGCAACCCACCTGTCCCTTTTGTGTAGCTCATTGTCAAGAATATTCAATATCCCCAATATATAGTGAGTAGATAAAACAATGAATATATGCATTCCCTCCTCAAAAGTATGTTATCAACTAATATCTATATATTTGTTTAGTAATGCCCAACACTACTGATGCTAGAGTAAAGGTGGTTGTGATATTTGCAAAAGAATTTAATACCATCATAAAGATATTCATGGTCACAGACCCACAACAATTACACATACATATCTCTCTTAGGATAAGTCCTTTAAATATAAAGCTATATACATGAAGATATATATTGCAATATTAATTTTTTTTTTTATTGAAAGTAGTTTGAATGCCACAGAGTTAAGGTCAGGATGATTTGGGAGTCTAACCATTTCTTCTGTGGTCAGTAGGAGTGTCTCATATTGGCACAGGAAACACCAAGTTAGGAGTTACAAGAAACAGAAAAGAGACCACTCTTGAGACCATGCATGCTCCTCAGCAGAGGACAGAACAAGATGGGAGTTCTTCCTCAGAGCAAAGTGGAAGCATCACTGCCTCCTGCCCTCACTGACCCTGCGTCTCTCTCCACCCTATTTGGCCAACAGATATCTGACATCGAAAAGTAAAGCAAGTCTAAACTTCTCCCTCTTCATTTGTATGAACGAGAAAGATTTGTGCTGGCATAATTTCTGTGTTACCTGACTGTTGGGCAGATAACATTTAAGGATGAGCAAATGTGGGGAAATAGGAATGGTTGTTAAAGATACCTCTAGTCAAAAGATGAGACCAGTCTGAATCAGAATATCTGAAATTTATTTAATGAAGAAAGGAGAAAACGTAAAAAATATCTGCTTTGTATTTTCAGGAAAAGTTAGGAAAGCAGAGCAAGTGGTACAAAGGAAGGAAGGATCTGACATAAGGAGATGCTACCTGCAGACAAGGCTTCTGGATTCCAAAGAGCAATGGGACAAAGAGGGGCGTGGTTTTAAATGATAATGGAATAAATTACTGTGGAAACAGATCTGTGATGACCTCTCAGCACACTGAGGGGGACCCCTCAGCACACTGAGGAGGACCATGAGGTCAAGGGGAAAAAAAGAAAAGTTCTAGGATAGATGCAAGAGCTCTAACCCCAGTAAGATTCATATCCTAGATGACAGAAAGGCCAAATAAGGAGTCAGTAGTCAGAAAAGGAAGAAAATAAATCACTGCTGACAAATATCCCTAAGCCTGAAAACTTAAAGATCATTTCCTATAATAGTGAAAATTATTAGCGACATTAGTGACTAGTGTCTCTTCTTCAAATGTCAATAATGATTCTTCAAAGAAGACTTATGAAAATTATCATATTTAAATTATAATAAAAATGGTAATAGAAAAAGTATAATTAAAATTATAAACACCATTTGCTTGTTATTATGATGGTGAATGTTAATGAAATAATAATCTATAATATTGCAGATACAATTGGGGCCTTCCTGGTGGCACAAGGGGTTAAGCACAGCACTGTGAAGCTGTCTGCAGCCTCTGCAGCACAACTTCGATCCCAGCAGGCTAGGGAGCTACCCACATGCACAGCGGAGCTCTCCTGTCTTGCCCGCTGCTCCCCTCAGCAGTGTACTTCAGTCTATCTGCCTGTTCTGTTCCTGGTTCTGTATCTGGTGAATCTTCTCACCTCCCACACCTCTGGCCTGTACCCCAGTTCTTGTATGCATAAATAAATAAATCTTTAAAAAAATATTGTAGACTCAATCAGAGACGAAGGGTATGGGAGAGAAGAGAAAGGGAAAGCACACAAAGGTTCTGTCTCATACGAAAAAACTGACTCTCAGCATCAGTTGGAAAGAGAACAACATGACATCTGGAAAACATAAGGGAAGAAACAAAGCAGGCAAATAGACATAGAAAACAAATTCCTGCAGCAGAGAGGAAAAATTAACCACAAAAACAAGTATAAATTTCAAAACTGTAAGAGATGTTGACAAAAGGAACACTAAAGTTACCAGCTATGACAATGAATTTGAATAGCTTAAAACATCCTAATTCAAAGGCTAAGATTTTCAGACCCATAGAGTTGAGTTAATCAGTAAATATGTATTGAGGATATATGAATTAGGTATAGGTGAAGATGCTAAAAACATAGCTATGAACAAAATAAAATGCTTTAGTTAATTAGGATGATGTTGTAGTGCAGAGACAGTTATCAAAGCCAACTGTATTTTTAAGTTAAATCAGAAATAAAAATATTTAAAAATCAAACAAAAAAGAAAAACTGGAAATGTTAATAGCAAAGAAAATCAAATTCATGGCAACAAATAAAAATGGAACAGATTGGTTTAAGAAAAATTCACAGCTTGCAATGATTAATATTTATGCACCCAATAATATATCATTAAAAGAGATGAAGTAAACAACTAGAAATAAGAAAAAAAATAGTGATCATTGAGAAGTAAGAGAAAGGAAAACACCACACTGAGCCTTTGCTCAGACAGTAAGTATCAGACAGTAAGTACTTGAAAAAGTAAGTAAAAAAGTAAGTACTTTCAATCAGACAGTAAGTACTTGAAAAAGTAAGTCATGAACAAGACCCCATTGTTTGGGGCTTAAAACAAGACTAATTGCAATAAAGTAAAAATCAAAATCAACAAGCAACTAGAGACTAGAGACACACTACAGTGGGGGTTGAGGGGAGGAGAAGAGGGATTTGGGTCAGAAAAATGGGGTGGGAATTGTATGGGGAATATAACCAAAATGAAAAAGCATGTATTATGCAAAAATGGAAAATGATGTAAAAATTATGCAAAAATGGAAAATGATGTAAGAATTATATAAAATAAAATAATTCATAAAAATAAATAAAAATAAAAATAAAACCTGGTTCTTTTGCTTATTTGCTGCATGATCATAGCCAAGTTACTTAAACACTCAATTTCAGGCTCAAAGAAAAATGAGGGACAGATTAATTGTAAGTATTAAAGTAAATTAATACTCTGATACCTTGGCATCAGGTCTGGCAAGTGGAAAATGCTCACTAAATGCTTCCTCTTACAGACATGACAAGATTGGATGGTTTATTAATGCCACTAATTTGGGAGATATACAAAACATCTTAAATCTAAAAATAGAAAACACATTCTAAATAGATTATGAGTGAATTAAAATATCTTCATTTGTATTTATCAGTCACATGTGTGATAAATTAAGATATTCAAATATAAAATAAGTGTTAAAATTAAGTGTTAAAGTATATTATATACACATAAATACATAAATTATATAAATAATAAAAATATTACTTATATGTAAATAAAATATATTTAAAATAATTAGGCATAGATGCTCATTTTTAAAATGCTCAAAAGTTTATTAAAAATAGTAGTATGCCAAAGTACAAATGCATTGCCAATAAAATCTTAATATACAAGTAATTTAGATGCGTATTATGAAAACAGAAATTCTTAGCAAAAGTCTGTCTGAACAGTTAAAATTAACAAATGAAAACTTTCAAATATCATAAAAAATTTCAAATAGAGGACATTGCTTATGAAATGATAATATAGTAAGTTATAATGAAGACATTGTACATAAAATAATATATATCCAGACTTCAGTCTCAAATGTTTATTATTAAGTTACAAGGTAAACTTAATTAATTACACATTTGCTGAATATATGAATAAAATTATAATACAGCAGATGTAAGGAAAGCAGGAAGAAAAATAAATGAATAAATAAATAAATAAATAAATGGAGGGGAAGAAAATAAATACATGAAATATTTCCCTAAATAAATAGCGAAATATACAAATTTCTACAAAGTAAAATTTTAATTATTTAATATATTAAAATGTCATGATGTATCTAAATTAAAATTTGATGTTAATTTACATATTCAAATAAATTAAAACATCAATAACTAATTAATAAATTAAATAATTTAATAACACTAGAAAACAGGCTACCAAATGTGAAAAATCCATGTAACATACACAGAGGAATGCTTTTAAGCAAAGGAATGCCATCTCTGTGATATTAGAGTTTTGACCGTCAGTGAAACATATGTTTTCAAAAATTTTACAAATTATCTATAATCTATATGAACCCTCACACAGGGATGTTATCAGTGTCCAAAGAAGAAGGTCAGCAGCACTGACAACTGGCAATGTGCCTCCCGGACACCCCGGGGGTGACTGCCAGTGCATTTTCATGAAAAGAGCCAGAACTTATTAAAGAAGTGATCGATCAGGTCAGAGGTGGTAAACAGACAAGTCCTTGGAGCAACTCATCCTGCCAAACAGCAGGGCAGCTGTCAAAAATAACTAGAGTTACATCAAAAGAGGGCTTCTCCAAACAAGATATGGCAAGCTCATTTCTCCCTCTTTTTCCCTGCTAAGTACCACAAGATACCCTGAAGGCCACACAAGGCCACTGAGGAGAACTCTCAGAGGTGAAGGAAGAAAGCAAAATAGTTGGACATTATTACTAAAAGAACACAAATCCAACAGAGAAGGTGATCCAGACCCTGCAGTCCCCAACTAGCAATTTAGCAAAGCAAGATAGCAGAGGTAGTTGCATCCCTCACTGGATAGACCAGGACTCCTGCCACCAACAAGTGAGATCAATTTGTCACCAGCTGACAAAAAGCAGCCAGGGGAAATTACTTTCCTCCTCTAGGGAGGATGGGGGAATGCAGAGAACCAGCACAGGGGTTCTTGCCACACAGGTGCCAAGCACAGACACTGAGCAACTAGGAGACCATGGCCAGGGGATTCCTGCT